TCCTGCTTCTCAAAGATGGGGCAACTACAGCTTCTGAGTACTCAGCAGCTCTGGAAATCAGTTTCTTAACAGTCTTTTTCCTACTGCAACTATACCTTCTTCCTTTGCAGAGATGATTCTGCCTGAGTTACTGATTTTATCAGAGACATTGACAAGTTCAGGCTCTCTCCCTTTGATGTTGCTGCATTATTTGCCTGAACTACCAGCTGCACATGTATTAGCTTCAAGCTTCTTCTTTAATTATTTGAATTCCAACTTCTGTACCACCTCAAAAAGATGTGACAGAATCACAGCAGCTTAAAAGTGCCTCCTATTTAGGAAAACCAAAGCAGTGGTGAGAAGAAAAGGCCACACTCCTCTGCAGATATCTGCTGGTCCTTTAAGGCTCACCATCCTGGGGAAGGCAAACCTGGGCACAGGCCACCATACAGTCCTCCAGGCAAGACAGAAAATGTGTCTCTGCAGCATTCACTGCATCATGAGCTGCGAGGACTACTTTGGGTAGCAAAAAATCAACCCTGAAAGCTAAACATTCCATCCCTTCAAGCTGTTTTCATTCTCTTGGTTGACAAGATTAGGGTATTCTGCTCAAACGAAAATGGACTATTTTATGGACAATAATAACAGTAATAACTAGAATAAGGATTATCATTCATGAAAACTGAGGAGAGAAGCAGGTCACAGACACACATAAAAAACCTGCAAACATGACTTATACGTTCTTGGCTCATAGTTTCCTCCTCCTATACCTACACTCTACTGCCTGTACAAGCTCCAACTACTTTTCTTCAGGTGTTTGTCTGCACCCTCTTGGATGCTGTAATACTTGTGGAGGAGGAAGAGGGGTTCATCAACACAGATTTTGATCTCTCAGAGGTGTTTCCAAGAATCTGATCCATCAGATGATAGAAGTCATATGAGTTTCTGGTTTTTTTCCCTAGGTTAATGTTTAGTCATGTCTCCCTATTCTTCCCTTTTTTTTTTCCCCCAGCAGTATTACAATGTTGACACAGCAACAACCGTCAAAAAGTACTTCTAGTTGTCCATCTTACTCTCTGTTAGGTACTGACAAACACACTTGATTGATCTTAACTCCTCTCAGCTTGTATGGGACTTCTATTAGCAGTTCAAAGTGCACATGAAATCACTGATACACAACCAGAGGCTACCTGGAAACCCTTAATGGAGGCTCAAATATTCACTTCATGGCAAGGGAACAAAGACTACTATATGCCTGCACCACAGTCCTGCAGACAGAGCAATACTTCACAGCAACCACAGGTCTACATTAAAACTGTTATTAAAAACAGATTTAGGGTCCCATAATGAACAGGACTGGAGAAGATTAAAAGAGGAAGGAAACTGAGGAGAAGGTCATATACCTACATCCCTCTCCTCTATCTGCTGCAATGCCAAGTCACCACATCCCAGTGGCTTTGGCACACAACACTCAAGTCCCTCAAGCAGGGCGTACAAAGAACAAAGCTAGACTTTCTAGTCCTTCACATTTCCAAACAAAATTCTGTGCAATTGGGGAAAAAAGAGCAGTTTATATTACTGCAAATCTCTGCGTTATGAGCTTATTTGATAAACAAAAAACTGTTAGATACCTTCCTATGTTCTACCCTCTTTGGATGAGTGGCATCTGAGCAAAAAATGTACACGTATCCTGCTGATGGATGTAAAATTTATCCTCCTATGAAACGCTGCCAAACATAGAAAGCCTGCAGTAACAGAGAGTTCTGGAAATTTAATAAAATCTATTTCATGCTTACGTTTCTGATGGAAGTGTAAATAACCGTTAAAGTTTCATATTGACTTTATTAAATTCTTAGAATATAAATATTCTAAGAATATTTAAGAAAAGAACATAATACATTTTCTAGAGGTAAAAAAAAAAAAAAAAATCCTATTTACATCAGTTTTCCGTCCAGCAGTGCTTCTAGGAAGGCAAAAAGCCTTTGTTGTGACACCACTGCAGCAGAGATGCCACAAATTTCCCCCATGGAGGAAATATTTGTAAATGCCAAGGATGATAATAAATATCAATGTTACTTGTATAAACCAAAAATCTTACCTGTGCATCTAAGTTTTTGCGGGAGGAAGCAGGTGTGTTGGCATAGGAGCTGATAGAGGAGCTGGTGTTAATGTCATCAGTACTGAGATTATCTATGGTGTCACTGATCCCGCTGCTGACAGAGCTGCTGTCGTCCCAGCTGGAGAAAAAGCACAAGGAAGGTAGGAAAATAAGGATCAAAAGACAAAACATCATTCAAAAGGAAAACTATTATTTCTACAAGCAGCCCATTAACTATATGTTTGCCACAGAGCCCAGTGTATACCATCATTAATGCACCATCATTAACCAACAGCACCAAGACATAGCTCTTCCTACTCAATCAAAATGTGTGCCTGCAGTCCCAGGACAAGGAAAAGTAGTGCTATGAAGGGATATTAGGAAGAAATTCTTCCTTGTGAGGGTGGTCAGGCTTTGGCACAGGTTGCCCAGAGAAGCTGCGGCTGCCCCATCCCTGGAAGTGTCCAAGGCCAGGTTGGATAGGGCTTGGAGCGACCTGGTCTGGTGGAAGGTGTTCCTGCCCATGGCAGGGGGTTGAAACTGGATGATCTTTAAGGTCCCTTCCAATTCAAACCAGTTTATGATTCTACAGTCTCCAAGTAGACATAGCACTGACTTGCTCAGCCATAAAACAGAGTTGGAGCTTAAATGCCAGGAAAAAGATCATCCTGAAACAATCTTTTGTACCTGAGTGTTACACAGACCTGGGCAACAACCTGGATCTACCACCCACAGCATCACCAGCCTCAGAAAATTTTAGTGATTGAAAGTTTAGTCCTTCAGAGGGTACATAACTCTCCTGAGCTGTACCACACACCCCTTTCAAGGAGATCTACTAATCAGGACTACCTTCTTCCAGCATTTTCTAGTAAACGAAAAATGTGTAACTGGAAGTTTAGGACACACAAAGCACCGACAAAATGAAAGTCCATGCCTGAAGTGATTTGAGTGTTAGAACAGGAAGAATCAAAACGATCTAACAACTGAGCCAGATCCACCACTCCTAAAATGCCTGTAAAAATAAGCTGCTCAAGGAAGAGATTTATAAACCAGCTTACAAATGCTCCACCTCTAAGAACAATGAAGCCAGGACTGAAACACAGTCCTGGAAATACCTCTGTGAAGACATTTCAGTCCACTGATAGATAATTGCTGGAAATGAGTAAATATATATATATACACCATAGATCATTTGCAAGAAGTAAGAGCTCTGGCAGCTCTCTAACCTCAGCTTCAGATTTTGGGAGCTCCAGACTCTCTTCCCTATTCCATTTCTGTTTGGTTTACAAACTTGTAGCAGAGATTGCAGTGAGGCTTTTGACTGGGGGAGTGAAAGACATTCACAAAATGATATACTGAACAGTTAATATATGCATTTCAAACTGAATTGTGTGTTGAGGAAGTGAACCATGTAAAGAAAGGCAACCTATCCCTGGCTTCCTGAGCTTTATTCATAGCTTCACCACTGATTTACTATAGTTTGACTTTTGGATATTAGAAAGGGTTCAGAAAGTGCATCGCCATATCTGACTTGGCCGCGCTGATCCTCATGGAGTGAGATGATCATTTTAAGGAGCTTGGGGGGACAACCTAAACATTCCAAAATCTGCCATAGACCTTTTCTGCTCACAGTATCGAAAGCCTTGGTGAGGTCAACAAAGGTTACATAAAGACCTTTGTTCTGTTCCCTGCATTTCTCCTGCAGTTGTCTGAGAACAAATACCCTGTCTGTGGTACTCCTGTTGGCTCTGAAACCAGATTGGCTTTGGGGTAGAATTCCTTCTGCTATAGCAGGTATTAGTCTGTTCAAGAGTATTCTTGCCAGGATTTTGCCAGGATTTTTGGTGTGAAACAAGGCTGTGTTCTTGCACCAACCCTATTCACAGTCTTTTTCAGCATGAAGCTCCAAAGGGCCACGGCAGACCTTGATGATCAGGACGGTATCTACATTCGATATCGTACTGATGGAAGCCTTTTCAACCTTAGGCAACTGAAGGCCCACACTAAGACCTTAAACCATCTTGTCTGGGAGCTGCTTTATGCTGATGATGCCACCCTTGTTGCCCACACAGAAGCAGCTCTGTAGCGTTTAACATCCTGCTTTGCAGACACTCTTTGGGCTGGAAGTCAGCTTAAAGAAGACAGAAGTTCTCTATCAACCGGCACCTCAGGAAGTCTTCCATCATCCCCATAGCACCGTTGGCGAATCAGAGCTCAAATCAGTCCAGCAGTTTAATTACCTAGGCAGCCTCATCTCCTTGGATGGTAAGATTGACGGAGAGATAGACAACAGGTTAGCAAAGGCACTATAGTGCCTTCGGAAAGCTTCATTAAAGAGTTTGGCGAAATAAACACTTGAAGAAAAGTACAAAGATCAGTGTTTACAGAGCCATAGTGCTGTCTACTCTCTTATATGGATCTGAATCATGGGTCATCTACCGCCACCACCTGTGACTCTTAGAATGCTTCCATCAACGCTGCCTCCGTACAATCCCTAACATCCGCTGGTCAGATTATGTGACTAACACGTCTGTTCTAGAACAAGCAGCAGTCACAAGCATTGAGGCCATGTTGCTGAGAACACGGCTGCGCTGGGCAGGGCACGTCTCCAGGATGAAGGACCACCGCCTCCCTAAGATCTTGCTTTATGGTGAACTTGACACTGGCTGCCGCAAGAGAGGAGCCCCGAAGAGGAGATACAAGGACTCCCTGAAACAACATCTCAGCCTTGGCCATATTGATCAACATAACTGGTCTACTCTGGCCTCCAATCGGGAGGTCTGGAGACACACTATCTATAACGCTGCTGATGCTTTTGAGAAAGCACGCAGGATCACTCTTGAGGAGAACAGGCAACGCAGAAAGAATCGTGTCTTTCAGAATATACCACCTAAGGAGTCTTTGCAGAATATATCACCTAAGGAGTCTTTCTGTTGTGCCTTTTGCAACCGGACGTGCCTATCTCAAATTGGCCTCTTTAGTCACCAGCACGCTTGTAATAAACATGGGTAGAGCCCCTCCTCAAATCTTCGTTCACGAAGCCTAGCCATGACTATAGTCTGACTACATAAACTTTGGCAACTTTGAAAGGAGAATCATTTCATTTTTCTCACTTAGCACTACAAAACAGCTACCTGTATGAGTTTTAACGATGATTTAATAATTTTAATTGCTTTTTGCTTACTTGGGAGTACTCTGTTCACCCACATCTATGTAAGGCCTTTGAGGGAACTGAGCCCAGTTTGCCGGACCACATGAACCACGGGGACATCCTCCCCCAGCATGTTATTGCTGGCAGCTACTCCTTGCTTACTGCTCTGTTCCCAGTGAAGGTCCTCAGCAATCTGCCAGCACAGCCATTTGTATCCCTGATCCCCATTTGTGCTCCTTCTCCCCATATCCCTGCAGATAAGTCAGCTGGGAACCTCAGATCAACAGCTTCCGCCAGTCAGATCACTTTTTGTCTTCAGGAAATTTGGGATGCTCAGTCACACTGCTCTGCTGGCAGAGAACAGGGATGGGGAGGGACAGTGACCCACTGCTGACTCCTACCACAGGCATGGAGCCTTAAGGCAGCCTTTTCATGTGCTGTTCTCCAACTCATGAAAATACACTCCTGCCAGCCCTGATTGACTTTCAGGAGTGTCCTAGTTACACAAAAGGTCCTGGATTTCCAAAAAGATTTTCTGAACCATATTCGATAAACCCACAGATAAACTCCAGCTCTCCTGATTGGAAAGAAATCCTGCACTTCAGAGTGTTGGTGTTGCTACAAAGGAAAGAGATAATTTTGTTTCCTAGATTTGCCTTCACCTGGATACTTTTAAAGAGGAATACACCATAATACAAAATAGAAATACATGTTAAAATAAAACTCACAGTGTGAGACCTATTGAGTCTGAGAAAGTCAGACAGCCAGATTTGACACAGCAGTTTTATTTGCTATTTTCCAAAATCTTTTTCAGCAAACTGAATGAAGGATATGCTGCCCACACAAAGAAATCCATGGAATGTTAGGGAAGGGATAATTGAAGATTTGGAAAAAGACTAAAAGACTTCTTTAAAGCATCTTTTTGTTTAGACTAGGCAATTAAATATTACAATGCAAAATATTGAAAGCCATGTTACTTCTAAATTTCAGTTTTGAAAACAGGTCTTATACCTGATATTAATTTCTGTTGCAAAACCTGTACCATAAAACAATTACAATTCCTAGATTTTATAAGTCTACAAATAAGGATACAAAACAGTTAATAAAATAACTGATTAAAAGAACATGCTTCTCATTTTCCAAAGTTCTGTGTAGCGACTAAAACATTTTCTATTCTTGAAGCTATAATAAAATAATAACAACCATAACAATAATAATAGTATCAATAATGACAATGTTTTCCATGCTTAACAGTTTTAATTTCCTTCTTATGGATATATGGCAATGGGCAAAAAAAAAAATTAGGTACACTAATTTTTCTCTGTGGGACTCATAGTCCCATCTTGAATGTATAGAATGTATAGAAACATTCAATTTTCAAGCACTCACCATTCTTGAACTATCACAGGCCCCAGTTCATCAGCATCTAAAGAATGCGTTTAATGTTAATCATAAGTAGTTTTTCTGGCATCAACCAGTCCTGTTGGTTTCAGTTGGGCAATCTGAGGCATTATGAAAATATCTGAGTGCCCTTCTGAACTGGGACATGTGCCTGAGGACAAAGGTAGAAACATGCACCTGAATACATTGACGGTTGTGGCTTCTCCTGAAGTATATCCTGGACTTTAAATCCTTTATGTTCTGATGGAAACAATGAACAACTCCAACTCTGTATTTTTAAGTTTACTAATCTGTTACTAAAATAAAATAAGAGGTCTGAAGATAGATGTCTAGCATTTTGGGTGCCAGAAGCTAAGCAACACAGCTCTTGTAAGCGTGTTGATGACCATGATGCTCAGAGCTGTTCCAACAAGGGAAGATGCTGTGTCATCTAAACCCAGACATCTCAGATCTAGCTTTATTTAAAAAGTATCCCTTCAGTAGGGGGGAGGGAGTGCTCAGTCTCTAGCTAAAAAACAACAGGGTGTCAGAGAACAAGAAAACACCTTAAGAAATTCTAAATAATTTTGAAAACCTACATAAATAATTACTGATGTTGCATTTTGGAGTAGCACCAGAGAGGGCTGGTTTTAATGTGAGCTGCATGTAGAATTCACTGAACTCTGTAACTTACATGCTAATGTAAGCAACTTTCTAAGTATACAACATATACTGCTAAAAACTATTGCAATTAAACCACATGTACTATTTAACCTGCTTGGCAGTGATCCATTACACATAAAAAGCTCTTCCCTCCAATAAGTCCATCACTAATTGCACCAAATCACTGTATTTGGTACAATATACACACCATGGACACACTACTCCATGTCCATGGAAAAAGATGGACACATGGGTGAAGACTGGGGCTTCTCCAGGGGAAGAGGTAACTGTTACCAAAGTGAGGTATCTGTTTCACATTGTTCTTCAAGCCACCCCAAGCCCTCCACATAAATTAGTTCACTTTTACCTTGATCCAGTGCCTTGATGGTTAAAGTCATAAGCAAGGAAGCAGAATGGGGCATCTAACAGCCCTAATTATGGTGTTCTTGGCTCCCAGAACCAAGATAACATCTTTGTAATTTAGCTGCTGCAATTAATAATTTCTGATGTCAGTAAAAGTCTACTCAACCATAACCTGAAGCTGAAATGTTTGGGCTTTCCTTCTCTATTTGATCAATCACCTGAAACTTTACTTTGATTACTGAAAACTACAAAAATCTTAAAAGTGTATTATATATGGAAATTATACAACCACCCACTTAAAAACTCCCACAACCCTGCCCCCTGCTCTCTATGAAACCAAATACTTTCCTCTCCCTCCCCACCTCACTCTGCTCACCCTAATGCAACTTACAACATTGCTACTATGATCACCCACCTACAGCACCAGATCAGCTACTCAAAGCTGCTTTTTGAAACAGGTTTGCAAAGTGGTTAGGCTCAGACTTGAATTTTTCCACAGTCTATCAGCACTTTTCCATCTTGCATAATAATCATCCACAGAATTGGCTCTTCTTTGTCAGCTTGGACAGCAAATCATTTTGTGATCCCTAGGATAGTCTCCTCGCTGCAGAAATCTTCCCGCTTTGCAAAGGAGCCATTAAAATCCTACTAAATAAAGCTATTGTTAAAGGCTGAGAATGCATCTTTTCTGTAGATGGGTGTGGATTTTAACTTTGTTGGATCTTCACTCAAAACCAAAATTACAATGAGCTGCTGAAAAATATATTTGTCCAAGAAAGGGCCTTGGGGCTTTACAATATTTCAAGTGGAAACATGGCAATTATCCTCTTCTACCTAAAAATTTAACTATTTATGAGTTGATAGGAGAACAAAAACAACAAAAAAGGTCAAGGTACGAAATGGTTGAAACTTCACAGCATCTTCAAAGATTTAAAAGGAAAAATTAAATGTGCTCTAACACAAGATAGTAAATATTTCAGTTTCCACTGTTTTTTTTCTGGAACTGTCTACAATACTGATCACTGTGTCAGAAATCCAAAAACCACATACAGACCCTTGCATGGTTAATGTGTTTTACACTGTTATTAATCACCCACCTGCCCCACGTCTTCAGTTACTCTCTCCTTACATCTCATTATAGGTATGTTAACATAAGCCACTTTGTTTCTAATCAAAAGAGGAGCCCAGCGACAGGACTGTTACCTTGAAACACTTTGTACAGCCAGACTATGAAAAGTAAACCAGGAAAAACGAATATAGACCATCTCCAGTTGTTCTTTCTGGAGCAGAATCCAATTGATCTTGAAGCCAATTCTTTTAATGACATTTTTTGGGGCAGAGTTTAAGTGCTGGAAATGTCCTGTGAGCTATTCAGACGTTTTCATGTTTAGTGACTATTCGGGTAACTGTCAGCAGCTCTCTGTCAAGTTCTGTTTAGAATTCATCAAGATAAGGTTTCAGGATTTACATTAAAAATACCTATTGGTAAAGGGAATAACTCACAGAACAAAATCAATCAGTGTTGAAAAAGTCTGGGTTAGAAAAGATTTGGAGAAGCTAGAAAACCGCACATGCTCTTTTCCTTTAATCTTTTTATATCAGTGCTAATAATCTTAAGAAAATAAAACTGGATTTTATTTTGTCCCTTAAAATCTAACCAGGAATTTGACCAAGCCATTGTCGAAGTTGAACACAAATGAGCACACACACACAGGACCTGCTAAACCCAGGTAATCTCAGGGAGTTACCATTTGAAACACTCTAAAGCTTCATGAAACAATCTGACTTTCCACTGAACATCATCATATCCTGCTCTGAAGCAGATATTACAGTGGCACCTTCTTCACCTGCAGGCTTTGCTCAGAGCCCCTTCAGCCATGGCTGTCTGGAGTCACTGAGTCAGCAGACAGCACAACTCTATTCAGTTGCAAAGTGCTTTACTGGTGGAACTTGGTTTTTTGGCCGTTGTTCACAACCAGGGTTCCTCTGGCACCTCCACAGCCTTGGGGAAGGGGAGAAACCAGAGCCTGTGACCCAAGTGCTGGAGGAACTCCCAGCAAGGTCTGTAAAATTTAGTGTACAATACTACAACCAGCTACCAGCCCCCCCTCTTGCATTCAAAACCTATAAACCATATTTTTGGTGTTCCCCATTTATTGTTCTGTCTGAAGACTCACTGTGTTTATAAAGCAGTTTACAGACCAGCTCTACATTGTGTGCACAGAGTACCCCCTTGGCCAGCAGCACACTCACCTCCCTGCTTTGAAGGTCATGGGATTAATGCTCATCCCTGATCATGTCCGTGCCACTACACTGACTTCAGTGAAAGCTGGAAACAAAATCAGTGTCTTCATATCACAATAAGGTCAGCGTTAAATCTCAGTCATCACGTTAAAAAACACGCTTTGTTTGTTCTGCCTTTGTTTCCATGACAGTAAGAAGTGCTGAGAAGTCTTCTAATCAAAGTTTACATACAAAGCCTCCGGTGCCTTCCAGAAAATAAATCCCTCTAAAGTGTACATGTGACAGCGATGGACTGAACAAATCCAGAGGTCAAGCCCAGGCCACTGGGGATGCAGTGATGGACCTCCTTAGCTCCCTGCAGTCCCCCTGGAATGAGGGAATGGGGAGGAGGTCCCTGGCAAAGATCTAGGTGTAGGTCACCCTTGCAATACGCCTCCTACTCCCTCTCAGCAAGGTCCCAGCCCAAACACCTCCTTACTACAGGCAGACAGACAAGGTGACCTGCCTTGAGGATGGACAATTATGACACGTAAAGATTAGACTGTGTGAGTTTCTTACCCTGCCTTACTCACCAGTAGCTCTTTCTTACAGCTTCTTCCTCAAAAGCAGATACTCTGGATCACATCACCTCCTTGTACAAAGACAAAATTTAAGTTTTGACTTAAAGCAGGGGCAGCACTCACTGAACAGACTGACATAGTTTCTGACACCCACCTCCTGCCCACAAGCTCCTCCAGCACTGGACTGAGCTGGTGAGAGCTCAGCAGCTCACCAGCAGTTACTAGAACCCAGCAGCTGCTTCATCAGAGGCTCCAAAACACAACAAAAACAGGGTTAAACACCAAGAAAAAAAGAATAAATCACCTCAACTCTTACAGGAGTGAGGTAACAAAAATATGTAGGGAAAGGAATGAAGGGCAGTATGGAAATAACACTATGCAAGATGCATTTAAATTCCCTGCTGCTGAGCATGCTTTTGAAAGACTCATGGACTCAACTGCCCTGTGGCCATTTGCCCTCTGGCCATTACTCCTGCACAAGTGGCAGACTGGGACCACTGGGCAGCCTCACCC